TGATCCACCCGCCTCGGCTTCCCAAAGTGGTGGGATTACAAGCATGAGCCACTGTGCCCGGCTACCATGCCTTCTTATAAAACTTTTCTTAGTGACTGAAGTCAGAGATGGTGCCTTGAGAAACACAGGATGGGTAGTTGAGTGTTTCTGTAAATTTCATCAACAACTTTGGATTTTTCTCCTCATATCTACTCAGATACTCCCTATCAGAGATGACACTAATCATCCTGTATCTTTCCTCCCTTCTGATCAGAAATTGAGAAGGTGAAGAAACACAGGTTGTCTCAGTCCACATTAAGACATCTTTTATGGTACACAAGAACTTTTTAAATAAAGGTTATTAAATAATGGGAACAGTTTTTCTTTTCTTTTTTCTTTAAAGACAGAGTCTTGCTCTTTTCCCCAGGCTAGAGCACAGTGGTTCATGCAGTAGCATGAACATGGCTCACTGCATGCATCACTTACTGGGTTTAGGCGATCCTCCCACCTCAGCCTCCCAAGTAGCTGGAACCACAGGTGCATGCCAACATGCCTGGCTGATTTTTGTATTTTCAGTAGAGATAAACATGGGGTCTTCCTGTGTTGCCCAGGCTGGTGTTGAACTCTTGGGATCAAGTAGTTCTCTCACCTTGGCCTCCCAAAGTGGTGGGATTATAGAAGTAAGCCACTGTGCCCAGCCTAGTTTTTTTCTTTTTTGAATGTCTAAGCCCAGTGAAAATTCTTGCTCTAGATGAATGATTAACTGATAATCATTGTGGACCGTCCGTGTGTATTTTAAAATGGAGAACAAGAAATCAAGCAGGTTAGCTAATTAAACATTTTTAGCCTATTAAAATCTGTTTCAAGTCACATTTGTCAGTAATTTGACTAGCTAGAAATATCCTGGAAATCTATAGAATCATCTATTTTTTTTCCCTCGTACTGACAAACCTGAATAAGCATCCAGGAGCAGAAATCTTTAAGAGATAGTTTTTATTCCTGGATGCTGCTATTGATCAGCAGTGATTGTGACCTTCTTTTAAGGGACTGATACGGAAGGAACCATAGTATTTATGTATAAGGTTACTGTTTTTGTTTGTTTGTTTGTTTGTTTGTTTGTTTTGAGACAGAGTCTTGCTCTGTTGTCCAGGCTGGAGTGCAGTGGCACAATCTCAGCTCACTGCAACCTCTGCCTCCTGGGCTCAAATGATTCTCGTGCCTCAGCCTCGTAAGTAGCTGGGATTACACATGCCTGGCACCACACCTGACTAATTTTGTATTTTTAGGTGAGACAGGGTTTCACCATGTTGGTCAGGCTGGTCTCAAACTCCTGATCTCAGGTAATCCACCTGTCTCGGCCTCCCAAAGTGTTGGGATTACAGGCATGAGCCGCCACACTTGGCCTGTATATAACGTTACGTTTAAAAAGCCTTTCAGTATTTCCATCACTTCATTGTGGTTGCCTTGGAAGTGGAACGATCATATTCAGCAGGAGTCCATTTCAACTTCTGACTTCTGGTTCTTATTTCTCTGTTACTATGTAGGCTGCCTAGAAAGTTGCAGAAAAACCAAAAGTCTAAAAAATAGTAATTAGATTATAAAATATGGCTTTAACTAGGTGTTCCATATCTTGACATTTTCGAATTCCAGATTATTTTGTGAGATGATTTTCTTTAACAAAGCAAATTTTGAAACTTTTATTAAAGCTTAAACACATTGAATTAAAAGGGGATTTAAATTAGGGCATGGAAGGCATAATCTGAAATTAGAAGAGCTAGTGAAAATGGAAATTGCAGACTCCAGACACAGTAAACTCTAAACCAAGGACTAGTATTGTGTAGAAATACTGAATAGCTGTTATTTATGTGGCATGTTTTATCTTCAAGGTATGTTTAGTTATTTAAGTGATTTTCGTAGAATATAATCATTTTTCAACTGAGTAGAAAAGCTTTCTGAAACCTTGCGTTTAGGAAGTAAATTGTAAGGGCAGAGGTAGAAGTACACTGACATTTTAATTGAGGGTTCAGCAGTTGGAGAGTTAATAAGTGTACATGGTTCCACAGTTAAAAAGCAATATAATTTTTTTTCCCACACCAAGATGTTATATTTGTGATTTCCTCATGAAGTAGAGAAGAGATGGAATAGTAATATAAAAGCTGTGAAAGGAAAGTTATTTAGCAAAATTGCAGTCCCAACTTTGTTGCAGCTTTTCGTTAAGGTCTATATTTGGTTAGAATTCTTTGCTTTGCGTGTGCCAAAATCCAAATTTGAACTATCTCAGGGGAAGAAGGGCAGGAATATAGCTTCACCTGAAATCAGGGATGCCGTTTACACTAGAGGAATGTAGGTTCGCCTGAAAACACTGGGATTTCTTCCTATTTTTTCTTGTAAGTCTCCCATATCTACTTTCTGAGTCAAGGTCATTCTTTCAGATTGACTTTTTTTTTTTTTTTTTTTTTTTTTTTGCATTGTCAGAAATCAGATGTTGGCAGTTTCTACTCCTCTTATTTACAGCTTGAATAACAGAGAAGGTCCAGTTTGTGTTGTGACAATTCCTCCCTTCTTCAGCTGTGGCCAGAAGGATAGGGTTCTGTGATTGGCTCAGCTCGTGACTAGGGGGGCCCACCATTGGCTAAATGGACATTGGTGATTAGAGGGACTGACATCTGAAATAAGAAAGCAGCTTTCATTCAAACCACCTGATAAGTGATGGGGAGAAGGGGTAGAAGGGTATGATGGGAAGAAGAAAGGGACATTTCCCAGAAGCAGGAGGAGATGCTGTTCCAGGCAGAAATAAGAAGAGGGTTCTACTAGTGATCTTTTGGGGGAAATTATCTGCTTTATTATAAGTCAGTTCACTTCAGTTCAGCAAACCAGGAAACATTGTTTTGTAGGATTTGGTTTTTTGAGAAAAACCAAGATTGAAAACACACACACACACACACACACACACACACACACACACATACATAAACATCTGTTGCATTTGGTCCTATTTGTTGAGTTGCTTAGCTGTATCATGTCTGGACTATGACAAGACTTTTTGTCTTCAGAGCTTTTTACAAATATACATTTCTTATACATTTTACTCCTACTAAAATACATCAAATTATCAATACATATTTAAATAGGAGAATGTTAGAATTTGGATACATGAGATTAATGGGGTAATATTTAGACTTGGTTGATGTTAATAACTTGCATGTCTTTTCCAATTTTGAATATCTCTTCTTTTTAGTTGGAAATGTGAATAAGCAGGATATTGGGTAGAAGGAAGTTAATTTTCAGAATGTATTGAAGAAAGTGTATTTTTCACATGTCCAGACCTTTTTTTTTTTTTTTTTTTAAGGAGAGTCAAGCCCTACTCGTCGAGAAGCTGTGAAGAGAAGAACAGCTGAGTATCTCATGCGGGCAGAAAGTATCTCTGGTCTTTATGGGAAACCTCAACTTGATGATGTATCTCAGGTATGTCTTATATTTTGTTGTATATTCAGTGATTTTTTGCTGTGTGGTCTCTCCACTTTATTTCTAATTAAAATGTTACAGGATTTTAATTTTGGAATTTTATTAATAATTTTCATAAAGGTTGGTGGTAGAAAGAAAAGCATTATAGCAAACCACCAAAAGTGGAATAAAATGGGACTTACTTTCTCCTTTTCTTGGCCTTTTATTAATTCCTTACTGTACCCTTAATCCCCATCAATCTCCAGATTGACGGTAATTTATACTGTTACGATACCTATTTGTATTTGGACTTTTTAAAGTTAGATCGTGATTCTTGTACAATTGTTCTCCAATTTTATTGATTCTTGTTAAAACTATTCATTTTAAGCATAATTTCTACAGGTATATGCTGTTGGTCACCTGAAATTATAAAAGCGTAATCCTAGCAAGGATAGTTAAGGTTATTTGGGACTTCCCCTAGACTTGTCTAAAATGCAAATGAATGCTGAAAACATTAGAAGCATTGAAGATTATTTTTGTATTTATGCCTTATCAATCTGGATTTGACAAATTTGACAAATTTCTGGAGGAAACTTCTGTTACTTTTTCTTTATATCAAACTAAGTGTTTCTAATGCAATTTAAGAATTGTGCCTTCTGGAGATGGGAAAAAGTATATATTTTCTTAATTGATCTAAGAGTCAGGCAGGCTTGTTTATATCCAACTCTGGCACTCGGAGTCATAGAAGATTGGACGAGTTACTTAATCCCACTCTGAATGTCAGTTTCTATATCTGAATAATGAGGATATAGTAATTTTTTGCTGGGTAGTTATTAGGATTAAATGAAGTTAAAAAAAAATTGCTCAGGCTGGTCACAGTGGCTCACTCCTATAATCCCCTTTGGGAGGCTGAGCTGGGCGGATCACCTGAGGTCAGGAGTTCGAGACCAGCCTGACCAACATCGAGAAACCCTGTCTCTACTAAAAATACTAAATTAGCTGGGTGTGATGGCGCATGTCTGTAATCCCAGCTACTCGGGAGGCTGAGGCAGAAGAATTGCTTGAACCTGGGAGGCGGCAGTTGTGGTGAGTTGAGATTGCCCCATTGCACGCCAGCCTGGGTAACAGGAGTGAAACTCTGTGTCAAAAAAAAAAAAAAAATCACTCATCCGTGGATTGTACATATACACATAAATCAAGTGCCTCTCTAGCACAAAGATCAGCCCATAAACCAAAGACTTAAGTTTTAGCTTAATTCTTCATTTCCCCTTTATATGCTGCTTTATATACTTTTTCCCACATATTTTTATGGTTGGTATACTTTTTGAAAATGATAACAGTTATTAACACTGTACTAACCAGTGTAAGACATTCTGAGACATTCTAATGTTAAGTGTTTGACCATTTCTTATAGAGTAGAAAGATTGTATTTCATCTTGTAGTAATATATTATTCTAACATAATGATTATGTTTTAAATGATATTATTCTACTGATTCATTTTCAGATTATGAATTACTGTGACTCTTCTAGTTTGTATTCTGTTTGGTAATCTTATTTTATTCTCTGTTATTTGTTCTTTTAATTATATTATTAAATTTATTTCCTTTACCTTTTCAACATTGAATTTTATCTTTTTAAGTGGAATATTTATGTAAACATTACTTTGATTCAATTCTCATTTTCCATGGGATTGGCAACCTTCCTCCTATGGAGTATTAATGTGTTTATGCTCAATTTCATTTTGGGGGGCATTGATAAAAGCATTAACATAATTCCCTGTGAACTTGTTTTACTAAATCCATCTTGTATATATTCTGAAAGTTTTAAGGATTTAAAATTACCAATATTCTTTTCATTCTTATAACATTAAATTTGAATGGTCTATCTGTATTTATTCATGTAATCCTCCTACTTTTCCATTTCTGTTAGTTTCCTATAGGCATGTCTATGAAGCAGTAATTTCTTAGGTAAATGAATATGTTGAGCCTCCTGTATAGTTTTGACTAGAAGAATAGAACCATGAAGTATATCAGTCAGAATTTCTTCTAGCGTAACTTTTTTTTTTTTTGAGACAGAGTCTCGCTCTGTCACCCAGGCTGGAGTGCAGTGCGCGATCTCGGCTCACTGCAACTTCTGCCTCCCAGGTTCAAGCGATTCTCCTGCCCCAGTCTCCTGAGTAGCTGGCATTATAGGTGTGCACCACCATGCCTGGCTAATTTTTGTATTTTTAGTAGAGATGAGGTTTCACCACGTTGGTCAGGCTTGTCTCAAACTTCTGACCTTGTGATCCACCTGCCTCAGCCTCCCAAAGTACTGGGATTGCAGGTGTGAGCCACGATGCCTGGCCCCCCCCCCTTTTTTTTTTTTTTGAGATGAAGTCTTGCTTTGTCACCAGGCTGGAGTACAGTGGAGTGATCTCGGCTCACTGCAACCTCCACCTCCTGGGTTCAAGTGGTTCACCTGCCTCAGCCTCCCTAGTAGCTGGGACTACAGGCACATGCCACCAAAGCCCAGATAATTTTTGTATCTTTAGTAGAGACAGGGTTTCACCATGTTGGCCAGGATGGTCTCTATCTCTGGACCTCGTGATCCACCCACCTCGACCTCCCAAAGTGCTGGGATTACAGGGTGTGAGCCACTGTGCCTGGCCCAAGCATAACTTCTAATGAAAATAAAACAGAAGAGATCTAATGTAGGAAAGCTGATTACATTTGATTATACAGTAGTAATTCATTAAGCATGTGTTGAGACTCTATGTAGAATCAAACTAGATATACTTTTGAGTTATACAAAAGATGATGACACGGTTTCTGCTCTTGAAAATCCTGTAGCATAGTTGAGGACCCATATATGTACATAGTTGAGCAAACAAAGTTAGACTGGTAAGAGCCATGTAGAATAATGGGAAATTCTATCAGAAAGGATAAAAAGGGTTGCCTTCTGAATCTTGTTTGTTATGTAGGATTTTTTCAGTTCTTAGGCAAGGAGGCTAGAGGAGAGTAGGCACAGTATTTTTCTTTTATGGTAAACATTTCATTTTAAAATTTTCCTTTTGTATGTGATTTTGTTAAGCCTGGCCCTTTCTGGTCAAAAGCATGCTTGATTATTTTCTTATGTATAATTTAAGTTAAATGTCTTCCAGAGGGTTGTGATTAGCTTGGTTAATTCATTATTTCTCTTCTTTAACCATCATTGGGCCTGAATTTCAACCAACATGATGAGAGGATTTGTATAAATGATTTCAAAGTCCCCTTTAGCTCAAATTCAGTGCAAAGCAGGTATTATTTATCTCTGGAATTAGTGTGCAAACATTTCTTTCTAGCCTGGTTGATGAAGACAATAAAGGAACTCTTTTTTGGTTTTTAAATTTTTGTTAATTATTGTTTTCTTCTTTGGTACAGTAAGCCATGACTCCATCCAGTCAGGTTTTCTTTGAAGTTTTAAGTGTTTGTTTTAGTGAAATTTAGAGATTCTTATATAGTAAATATAAAAGTCCTAAGTTTCCCAATCATTCATGTTAATATCCTTTTCACAAAAGCACAGAAAGGAAAAAAAAGCACTCTTTTACTCTTTTCTTCATTGCTTCATTATTAAAAGGCTCCAAGAAAATTTAGGAGCAGGTTTCAGATAAAAAGGAAATGAGTTTTTTTTGAAGTAAAGGTGAAATCTTAGCTGAAGGAGACAGATTTCTTTCTTTAAAAAAAAATTGTAGACAACATTGAATGATTTAAGAATTAATGTTCAACGAGGATCTCCCTGGAAAATAGATTTTTAACTTTTTTTAGCTATAGGAATTTTAAACTCAAGATCATATTTAGAAAAAGACAGTAAGATGTGAGTGAAAATTAATATGTAGAATATATGACTTATCTGAATATTTGTAGATTTTGACTACAACTGATATAATAATATTGAAAGTATTTTTCTATTGTGCATTTTGTTTGCTTGTATTATTAGTTGATATTTTTCCATTATTCCTTAGAAAATATTTTAAATTTATCCTCAGTGAGACATGTGCTTAAGTCAGTAATAGGCCTGCAATTAAGTGTCAGGCTTGAAATGTGACCTAGTGCTGCTCAGAAGACTGGGTGTTAGGTTTGGTTGATTGCCCATGAAAGTCTTTGCAAAGCCAAAAATTCATGGATGAAGCCAAATTCAGGAGCGCTGGCACAGTTAGACATCAGTGTTCAGTGTGATTTCTTGATACATTCTTTGTGGTGCTTTCCTTTTGTCCTTGATTACTTATTTTCCTGCAATAATGATTACTCTCTCTGGTTATTTGAGGAAGAGTAAGTAACCCTATTCTAAATGTGATTGGTGAACCAGCGGCCTCAGCATCACCTGAGAGCTTGGTGGAAATGCAGAATATCAGACCTACTCAATCAGAATCTTCTTTTTAACAAGATCATCAGATGACACATACAGTTAAATTAAAATTTAAGGAGTACTGCACCAACAGATTGGGAAGAATAGAGAGAGATCTCATTGAGAAAAGGAAATAATATCAAGTGAAAAAGACTGTGGGCAGGCTGAACAGCAACTTTGAAAACAAATCCTCAAACAGAAATAAAACTGTTTAAAGAATGTACAACTGGCCTGTAATCCCAGCACTTTGGAAGGCTGAGGCAGGCGGATCACTTGAGGTCAGAAGTTCAAAACCAGCCTGGCCAACATGGTAAAACTCCATCTCTACTAAAAATACAAAAAAAATTATCTAGATGTGATGGCACATGCCCGTAATCCCAGCTATTCAGGAGGCTGAGACATGAGGTTATCATTTGAACCTGGGAGGCTGAGGTTGAAGTGAGCTGAGATCATGTCACTGCACTCCAGCCTCAGCGACAGAGCGAGAACAGGAATAGTAAGTAGGCTTTAACTAGTGTGCCAATTCTAATCCATGAGTATTGGCTGCCAGGAGCATTGTGTTGAGAAGAGTTGTGAGGCTGTGGAGTTAACAGAGATGCCTGCCGTGGACTTGGCCAGTTGAGTGATATGTACTTGCTACCTCTGCTTTTGAAGATTGTTGGGTCATTGTATATTCTTGCCTCTCTTCCTTTGTCTTTAGTCCTGGTATAGATGAATACAACTACTCTTTGCCTCTCGAGGCATCTTCTGCTATAATAGCTAATAAATATAAGTGAAAATGTTACTTTTCCGTCACGGAACTCAGTCATGTTACATAGAAATACACTGCTTCCCCCATTGTGCTTCATAGCACAATGGGCTGAGTTTCCTGTAACAACATGCTATTATTTTGTAAGTAATATTTAATCCCCTCTTATCGATTACCTACTTTTGCTAACCTTGCTGCATCTCAGTTTTCTTAGCTGAAAACAAAGATTGGACTTGATCTATAAGGTCTCTTTCTGCTCTTAAAATTCTGTGGATTTGTATGTCCTTTTGCCATCTGAAGAAAGGATTAGATCTATAGGATTCTACCCAATTTAAGCACTACATATGAGAAATACAGTTTTTTTATTGCTGATTTTATTTCATGATCTTTCTTTGTTCATTTCTGTGATCTCAAACTTTTACAGATGGTTAAAGTAGAAAGAGAACTTTAATGATCTCTTTGCCTTTGGTCATTCCCCCTTCAATTTCCCCATTCCCATCTTTGCAAGAGTAACCTTACTAAATCACTGTGTTCATTGGGTATTTCCCATTTAAAAACTTGTCTAGACTTTGGAGAACATATATGGTCAAGACGTTTCTTCTTGGCATTCAAGGCCTGTGAACACTGACCCTAAGTGTATATTTTCCTCTGTTCTCCAATTTGAACAACTTTTCCTCTCCAGGCTAATGCTTTCCAATTGTATACAATATAGACTATCCTTTTCCTAATCTAATTTCCACATAGCATTTAAAATCACCTTTAGTCCCCATCTTTCTGAGACCACAGTTTTTTATACACTAATGGTGTATCTATGTAGTCCCGTATTTTTAAGATAATATTTTATCGTTATTTAACTTTTCATTTATTTGTCTTATCTCCTCAAATAAATGGTGAACTTCTTGGGGTTAGACTGAACCCTTTCAGTTATCATGCACATAGTAGGTGCACAGAAATTATTCCTTGAAAGATGCAGTAGAGATTTTGCAGCTTGCTTTCTTTGCTCTTCAGATTGCCAGGTGAACCAATAACTTTTTTTGGAAACTGAAAGATCCAGTGGCATCTGTGAATAAGAAGGTATAAATAGGAAATAGGGATGTTGGAGATACTTGGCCATATTTTCAAAGACAAATGTAATGGATAAAATATCATTTCAAGTATTATTTTTCCCCCTTATCACTTTTCCTTAGCATTCCTTTTGACAACATCGCAAGCAGTTCTTACTCGTTCTTGCAGCAAGAAGCAGCAGCAGAAAAAGAATTTTTAATTATCAGAATGTGTTGGTTAGTAAAAGGACTGCAAGCTTTAGGGTAAGTAGTTAGAGTTCTTCCACTGTCTCTCTTCCTGACCACAGACAAACACTCCAGCATTGTGAGAATCCCTTTATTCATCTGTAAAGTAGGAATTATGTAATACTAACTTCCTGTAAGTATATCACCTGGTATGGGGTGAGGAATAGAGACAAAACAATATAAATGAAGATAGAAAAGACTGTTTCTACTGGCTGGGCGCTGTGGCTGTAATCCTTTGCCTGTAATCCCAGCACTTTGGGAGGCTGAGGCAGGTGGGTCACTTGAGGTCAGGAGTTTGAAACCAGCCTGACCAACATGGTGAAACCATGTCTCTACTAAAAATAAAAAAATTAGCTGGGCATGGTGGTAGGCACCTATAATACCAGCTACTCAGGAGGCTGAGGCAGGAGGATCGCTTGAACTTGGGAGGCAGAGGTTGCAGTAAGCCGAGATCATGCCACCGTACTCCAGCCTGAGTGACAAGAGTGAAACT